CTTTTTATTGCCTCTCTCCTCTCTGTTTTCTTATCTCTACTCTCTCTGTTCTCTTTTCTTTTTACTCTGTTTTCTTCTGAATTTTCCTGGTAAGTTTTCTATCAACAACTTTGACTAGGATAGAAAAAGCAGGGTGAATTTAGACCACGTGTACTGAGAAGGTTGATTTATCAGGCATTTCAACAAATCATCAGGGTTTTTTTTTGCATACTGATGTATTCTTAGAAACTAAAACTTGCTTGATTTAGAAAAAAAAAGAGTATGTAAATTCCTGAATTCTTGGGCATGAATCAGTACTAGTAGGGATGAGGCAGGTGGCCACATTGATACAGTACATTTCAGAGTCTGGCTTAGGATCCTGGCACTTGACAAGGGTTTGTTTTTTAACTGTGAGATGTTTCAGAAAAAAAAATCGATTTCCAACTCTTCAGAACAGCTGTGTTCACATTTTAGATTCTGCATCCACAGATATTTTTAAATCCTGCATTCCTGTAAGAGGGAGCTCTGAGAATTGCTCTCTGCCCATAAAATATCCCTGGATATTCAGAGAATATATGGATAACCATGGAAAAGGGCTTCTTTGGGAATTCTGGCAAAGCTGAAAGAGAGTGGTCCAAAAAGTCAGGAGACTAAACTCCCCTCTCCCCACCTACATTCACAGATTTATTAGATGACGATGTAAACTTTTCTACCAGTGTACTTCAGGCTAAAAATGAAGGACAGGTACCTCAAGCAGAGGAGAAAGGTCAGCTCTGTGAGTGTTTCCTCGAGATGTTGGCTACCAAGGCTGTGAACAGGGTTTTGACACATGGTTTGTATAACTCCACATACCCTCGCACTTTCAGCTGCCTCTTACAAGAACCAGTTGCTATAATGGCTTTCCTCCTATGGAACCAAGTTTACAGAAAGCAGACTGAACGGGTCTTACAGGAACCATCATTACTGCCTCTTAGCAACCTTGCAAAGCGAGGAACTGCAAGCCACTGCTCTCTTTTTCATAACTTTGAGGTAATTAGTGCCTGGCATCTGTAATGGAAATAAAGTGCATAACATCAGAGTTTCTAAAATGACACTGTTTTCATTATGTGCTTAATTATTCGAAGAACATAAAGGCAGCTACATCAGCCTGCCAAGGAGCTTTTGTTAATCAAAGGCTCTGTCTTTACAAGAGCTTTTTTCTTTTCTTCTTAAGACATGTAAATGGTTTCAGCCATAAAGAGAAAGAAAGAAGGAACCCCAAAGACTGTTTATACATAACCTTTAAGGCTGCTGCTACTTATTTTGTGGGAAAGATTATTTTGACTGGTTGCTATAGGAGCAAGTTATAGAGCAGCCAGGCATAACTCAAAGTTGCCCTGCAGTGCTACAGCAGCAGAGAGTGACTAGAAAGATGCATTACCTAATACTGGGAGGTTTCACCTCACATTGTAGATCTGGCTTCCGGACTTCATGCACTTCTCTGCCACAGGTGACATTCTTAATATCCTACTGTCATTTGGAATTTTATGATCCATGCTTTAGATTCCTTGGTTCATGTAGATTTGGAGGAAAAAAATGTTAGTGGTTTACAGCTCAGCTGTGTTGAAGTATCCCACACTACAGCTTAAAACTAGAACTGCGTGTGATTATGCATCATTGCTATAATGTACTTTATATAGGAGGAATAAATTAGAACCATAGGACATTGTATTCATCCTTGGAGAGTGGACACAGCTGTGGAAAGGTGACTCTGAATCTATGGCATAAATCTCCCAGAACTTTTAGCCCAGGATTTTACCTAGAAAGCTTGGGATCAGGATCCATGTCATTTAGTTGGCAGGAGAATGCTTGAATGGAGGGCTTCCAGTGTGTTTCAGTGAACCTTGCATTGTAGCTTTTTTTGATCAGCCTTGAATTGGCTACCAATGGCATATGGTTCTGTTTCACTGTAAATGCTATTTGATATCTCGATGCTAGAAATGCTTGTCTAGCAGCCACATAACTTTGGATAAACCGATCCAAATGCTAAAGCGCTTATTCAGGCAAAGTTCACTGTTTGTTTTCCTGAGAAAAGGGCTAAATAAAAACAAAAACAGGGCTTTGGGAAGTGGCTCCTTAAAAGCTGGAAGAGTTTGGAGGCAACTGAAGGAAGATCAATCAATAAGAGTCCAGTACAGACAGCATTTTTTAATCTTTATTTTTATATTTTCTTATATATTATCTACAAGCACAAGCTTTCATATTTTTTTAATGTAAAAATGCATACAGATCGTTATATATATAAAAAACAAATAGCCTTGTAGCAAACTGCCAAATGCAACCATCCCCAGGTTTGGGGACAACTTGTCTGGATCCAAGTGCAAACTTAAGGGCTGACCTTCACTTCCATCACTAGTTGCACTGAACCCCCAGATACAGAAATTCTTAAAGTTCTAGGGAAGTTTTGACTCCTGATCCAGGTCTTGCAGCATGGGCATGACTAACTCTTCATCAATTGAAGATAAATATTTTAAAACTTCATAAATGGCAATCAACTTGTTGTAGAAAACAAGTGTACACCTCACCTTTCTTCTCCCTTTGTGTTTCTCTTTGTTCTCAACCTTTTCCCACAGAAGAGGGTAGAAGAAATTAACACTAGTGTTGTATATGCACATTTAAATTGAAGTAGTAAAAACAGAATTTAAACTGTTCATGTCTGCTGTGAAAAGGCTACTGTATTTGGGTTCATGTTGCATTTGGCCTTTTCAATTCTTCAGCACATTTTGGCTCAATTTGCACATTGTAGAAATAGGACATTTTTATAGTATAGCTGATAATATGTTGCAACATTGTGATCAACAGTAAATCAGATTGCATTTAATACTATGCAGTATGTATCAACAGATTATAATATACTATATTGTAACTGGCTTGACAAGCAGCCCATTACATGGAGGAAAAAAAAATAATGATCAATTAAGTAAAGAAATCTGTGTTTGTGTGGGAGGAAGGGTCACAGAATAGAAGCCTCCTTTTTGACTGAGTGTTTATCATATTTGGCAGTTTCCAAATTCAGTCTTTGCAAAGGAATGCTACTATTTTTATTAGAGGTTCTTTATGTAATAAGTCATGTTTTCACAGTGGAACATTTTCCTTCACCGGGATTTTATGACTTCCCCATACCAGACAGTGTAAGCAAAGATGTAACTTGCTGAGATTCTTTTGGAAAATATTAAAGCCATAATTTAGCTTCTTTTTCAGCTCTCCCAGTATGAATATTATTAACTTATTTTCTGTTGCAGTTCATATGTTACCTTTTTGCATTTCAAATGCAGCTCTACTCTGAAGCCCAAGACAGGTTTTTAGAGGGGAGAGAAAAAAAAAAAAACAACAAAAAAACCCAGTTCGTATTGTCCTAGAAAGGGATAAATCAATTTAAATTGGTTGTTTAGATTACTGACGTAATGACTTTCCTTGTGAGCTATGCTGCCATGCAATTTACAGGTAAGGAATTATTTGTTGAATTCGTGCAACATCACTGATTTCAAAGATAACACAATGACTTAGTGCCTGTAAAATGCACACTCTCACTGCTGATGTTATACACGATTGCAAGTTCAGACCTTCAGCTAATGACTATTGGTGCACGAAGAAACACTACCTTATTCTTTTATACTTGTATTGATTCTGCAATACTTACAGGCCTAAAAAGGCAAAATCTGAGTTTTTACAGAAGTTAGAGATGACCAATAGTTTGGGAATAGCTGTCAAAGAGATGGTGACGTTTCATCTGCTGCCTGCCCAGAATGACACAGAGAAGTTTCCACTGTAGTTGATGAGCACCAGCATACTTGAATATGGGGGTAAAATACAGACACTAATTCCGAAAGAGTGAATGAAATTTTGCTATCTAGACTGGGGCAAACAGAAAATAACTAACAACCCACAGCCCAAGTAAAATATGCGCTTGAAAGTGATGTTCTCTATTGTTCATTGGGTTAGAGATGTGGGTGAAAGAATGTTTTAAAAATTTTACTTTGGTGAAATACCGTTAAGTCAACCCCGTTGAAAAGGCTTAACTTAGGACTTTTCCCTGTTCTCAGGGATATGCAGGCTTGATTAGCAATGGGCTGTTCCACCATTTATGTGGCTTACTATAACTGGATATAATGCTATCCAATCAAATGTCCTCACTTGTGTCCTACACCTGTGGCAAATTGTGATAGAATTTGGCATTCTTTCCTCACAGAGGCAAATAACCGTACAGAGTGCAAAGCAGTGGAGAACAGTTGTGGCTGGTTGCTGTGAAAGGGATGCTTTTCAAAGGAGAATACCACTAATATTCCCATTTGTCATCCCACCCTTTGGCTATGCTTCTATGTGATGCCAAACCAAGATGCCTAAAGGACTCCAACATAACTGGTAAAGAGACATAAACTGAAAGTCTCCCCAAACCTAGTTATTTAATCTCTTGCTTGTTCTGGAAGAAGGTCTCAGTGCTACAGTCAACAAGCCAAGGAGACAGGATGGAAAACATGACAGCTGGCTTAAACAAGAGGTACAAGGAAAGAAGAGGAGAGAAGGAAAAAAAAAAAGAATGCTTATTTTCCCAGGCACTAAAAACTGATAAAACGCATTTTAATTTTAATGTGCCAAATAAATTTACAAAGCCCTGTGCTGGTTTAAACCACAGATTGCTTCAAACGACATCTGGAAGTTTAAACAGCTGGAAGTTATGGCCTTTTGATACAGTAAAGGCCATTTACATCTGATTTACATTGAGGGCTTTAAATACTTGTCTTTCCCGTGGTTTCAGTAGAAGACATAGGAGGAGAAACTACTTGAAGTAAGACCAAAAGCAAACATGTAAACAGAAGCTATAAATTAGCCACAACTAAATCAATAGTAATATGGTTATCTTTTTAGTTTGATTTCCCAGCACATACAGACCAATTCCCCAAGTACAGTACTGCACTTTGAGGAAAAAATGCTGAAATGCCACTGGACCAGCTGATTATTTCTTGATGAGTTCTGCAGTTTCAGAGGATATGGAAAAACAACTGAACTTCAGACCTGCTTAAATGTCCTGCTGGCTACACACATCCTAGGGTCTGAAAAAGGCCATTTCTATATTTTTTTGCATGTCTTGCATACCTTGGGACTCATAGATTTGACAAAGTAACACCAGCAAGGACAGCTTGGAGTAAAAGCACACCATGCACCAGTTTAGAGCTGGTGAAAGGTGTCAGATGAACCTTCTGGTACAACACAGCAGCTTCTAAGGGAATTCAGTCCTCAGCAACATCCGTTGTGACGGTTGTTGCTGGACTGAGGACTGAGTATTACTCCCCGGTGGCTACTGTGGAACTTGCTGGCTGGAAATGATGTTTAGGCACTACTAACTTGGAAGAAATTGGAACCAGCTTTGTAGAAGCAGAAGATGTTCTGTCAATGCTAATCCCCACAATCATCTAGTCCTTTGGAGTTTTTTTGTTTTGTTTTGTTTATAATGTTAGCCAGAAGCAGTGGGGCTAAATGCATTTTGAAATAGGAAGAAAGTCTGACCCACGTCACTCAAAAAGGACAGTGGTGTGGTTTGTCTTTTCTCTTTTTTTAATTGCAAAGGTTTGACCATCCTTTATTAAAATATGTTCTGCTTGCTTCCTCCCTGCCCCAAGCTAATATGCTCTATAGTGCTGCTCTACCCTAATACAACTCTTTTAGCTGCTGATTTTGGTAAGCATCTTGTTAATAGCCTGCTTGACATGGGTAGTGGAGCTCCGTCTCCGAGTCTTGCCCTGCACCATCTTGCGACGCCGTACCTCACGACACAGCTCATAGAAGGCCTCCATAATGTTGCCCTCTCCTGTGCAAGCAGAGCACTCATAAAATGCACACGCTAGTTCTGTGGCCAGCTTTTCACCTTCCTCTGTGCTGACCTGCCTGGAGTGATCCAGATCTGCTTTGTTCCCCACCAAGATCAGAGTGACATTCTTGGGTTTTTTAACTTCATCTAACAAGTTCTTAAGTGGCAGCACTTCCTCAAAGCTGCCTCTGTCCGTGATGTCGTAGACCAGGACGAAGCCTTCGCCCCACCGGACATGTCCTTCTTTCTGAATGGCATCCTCCTGTTTTGAAAAGACAGACACCAACGTTTAGAATTCAGTTTTGAGTAAAAGAATCTTGTCCTTTGAATAGATGCTGGCCCCCGATGCCTGCAAAGCCATATCCATGTCCTTGACTAGGTACTCTATGCACCTTTTTTATTGTGTAGCATTCTGTCAAGGTGTCAAGGGCTGCCTGTGGTCAATGGAGCAGGCAATCAGAAGGGGTCTCTTGAACTAGGACTGTTCAGTGTGAGCACCTGCCATATTTTCAAAGCAAGGAGGGCTGGCTGAGACAAAACCGCTCTACACTTTGGTGGCATTCATTAACTAGGTAACATTTACGTGGACACATGTGTAGGTCACCCAAGGCTCTGTTGAACTTCATTAAAGGACTGTATAAATAGACTGTGACTATGTGCATAATAATAGCATGTGTTGGGCTGGCCCAGAATCAAGAAATGAGAACAAAACCATTTTAATGCTAGGGTAAATTCTGCCTTTGTTTGTTCTTCTCATATTTGAAAAATTATACAAGGATTCCTTATACAAGCGTACAGTGGGCTTGGCAGCAAGCTGACGGTGAGGAAAAGAGGCTGTCTGCTCAGTCTCCAGAAGTGGGGCATGCCTGACACCCATTACACAGCCATCACTCCCCTTTTCTACTGTCTCTCCCAGGCAAAATATACATAGCCACGTACCTGACCAGCTGTGTCCAGTATCTCCATGGAAACCACTTCATCATCAATGGTAGCTTGGTGACGATACGTAGACTCTAAATTAAGAACACATTGCAAAATTTATTAAAAGAGAGTGATGTTTTCTCTCTTATATATGGATACCTCAGCATAAGACGTGATATGACATATATTTAGTTTCACTACATTTCACTTATTACAGCTCTTCCAGCTAGACTCAAGCCCTACTTCCTATAAATGAGAAGGCAGATGGCAGAAGAGCTCTTTCTTTCAAATGTCTTGAACCTACAGCGGGCTGTACTTGTGGACACTGTACTCGGCAAGCCAGAAGGATACTCTCTTCAGATCTGCAAGGCTGCAGGAATACTTCATGCTCACTCATAGGAATATGAAAAAATATTCAAAAACTGCTTCTCTCAGAAGATCCAGCTCATAAGCTTGTTCCTGCTTAGTTTGAAATACGACAAGACTGAAAGTGGTATGGCTGAAGATCAGGGACCTGTTCAGGATAACCATTAAGCACAGGCCTTATACTGTGATAAAATTACAGAAGAGCTAGCTATTTTAGGAATGTCTCTTTGAAGCACGCTGAAGTCATCACATTCCCCTGTCCTAGCAAGGGCTCAAGCACTGATTTCTCATTTCATGATTTATAAGAACTGCCAGTGGGTATTAAGCATTTACACTACGTTACAGGGAAAAGGAACCTGTTTACTGTGTCTGGGGTTCTGGAGGCAGGCAACTTATCAGAAACCTAATGCCAAAAGGAGTTGTTTTATCTTAATGAGTTGATACGTTACATTTGATAGCATTTGACCTAAAATTCGGAAAAGCATCTGTGCTAACATTCACATTTATTACTGCTGCTAGTTCACAGATGTTCTACATCAAAAGGCAAATACATATGTAGTAAAAATGTGGCCAGTGACTACGAATGTTTTGCACTGTCAGAGATGTGATTCTTCTATTTGGTGTATATCTCCTCAATGGGAATGAAGGATAAGTTAAAGGAAACATATTTCTTGAATTAGAACTTCCGAAAGGGTTTGTATTTTGTTGAAAGTCTTTTTTTTTTTTAATCTATTTAAGAACATCACCTCTTATAGTCATGAATGTGCGAATGATGTAAGTGCTACAAGAACTTTAAATAGTAGAGCTGCATCTAGTAGGGGCAAATGGTCAATTTAATTAGGCAGATAGCAAACACTCTTGCTGCAGTATTTTGGGCTATATAGGCCAGGCTTGTATAGGCAGTACGATCCTTTTCTGTTCAGTATGGCAAGGCTGCTGAAGGAGGAAGGGTCCTACCTTTGTGATTCTGAGAATATATCTACAGAATAGAGTAAGAGAAAATTAAGTTTCTTGTTATTTTTCTTCCCTTCTCTATGTCCTCCTAGCTGTAATGATTTCTCCAGAGGAAGGTGGAAAAGCAGAAGCTCTAGGTTGGTGCAGAAGCTACAATGATGTGTCCTTAGAAAGTAATTAATTTCAGTACTGATTGTTAGGCTAGGACTCCTTGTGCAGTACTCTGTGCCTAAGATTGCTTAGGAATTTATCTCCCATTTCTTTGGGGGAGCGTGGTGTGAAGAAGGGATAGTTCTTTGAATGCATAATGTGATGTCGGCTCCTTAGTCACTTAGGCCTTGCAATACTTGCATGCTTTCAGCCATCTGTTCCTACTAAGCAAGCAGCTCTGGAGAATGAGTCCTCCCAATTTGGGGTACACCGTGTCCAGCAGTACTTGCACTGTATCCACAAAATGCCTTTAAGGAGGCAGGGTGTGGTAGACTGTTCTCTGTGAAACTGAGACTAAATCTCAAGAAATAGACTCAGACCTGCTGCAGAAAAGCAGCAAGAGTCTTAAACGAACTTGAATTATCAAGAAAGGATTTTGCATTGTTTTTTATAACTCCCTTTGCCTGACCACCTTAGGGTAGAATTTGGTCCTGGATGAGTAGTACTGACTTAGGTCAGATTAGTGTAAATACATCTTAGTGATAGTGTGTCTGTTCTTGTGGTTTGTAATGTGCTGTAGCTGGTAAATTTTAATGAGGAGTGTAAAAACAGCTGAATCTCTAAGAATTCTTGGTGTCTTTGCTGATGTGGGTTCTCCTGTAAGGGAACAGAAATATCCTAATAATCTGTTGATCCGAGTTACAGGCCCTGAAGTCTTGAATTCTAGTTAGGTGATGTTGAATGCCCTAAAGCCTTGAGATCCCATAGCACTTTACGTGTACAACGCCTTGCTTTGGCAGTTGTTAGTATAATTTTTCCTGTGCCCAGTTGCATTTTTTTTGACATTCAACCAGAGTGAAAATAGGTGACTTTAGATACTTGCTGGATCCCTGAAACAATCTATGGTGCAGGTATCTTCCTTCACTAGGTACCTTTGAATTCTGTTAGAGCTGATGAAGTAAAATAGGTAGTGGATTTGGTCTGTCTGGTCTCTTTTCTGCCAGGAAGAATCACACAATAAAAGCAGTTAGACCTTGTGTTCATCAGATCAATTTTAGACCTCTAAAAGTCTTGTCCTTGCATTTTCATGGTCAAGTAGAAAGTGCAGGAGGGTACCACTGTGTGCTAGTGATCTTCCCAATATAAAATCCTGAGATTAGTGACACCTTTTTGAGATTCAAAATATCTTCTTCTTTCAAATAAAACAATGCTAATATATTATATCTTCAATTATATAGCTAAAATCCCATAGATGGAAAATAAATGTCACAGTTGTGTTTTGCTAGTCATAGAACTGAACTAGCCTTAAAACAGAACTAGTGATCTGCTGTTGGCAGATAAAGTGTGCCTGATACCACTAGGAATGGGGAAATACAGTAGTTGTATTCAACTGTTAACCTTATTTCAATATGAGTAAGTAGATCTGACCCATTCTAGTTGGCCTTAGGGTGTAATAGGCTTCTGTTTGTATTCACAGTCACTGGATAAAGGTAGTGCTGAGTGTGTTGCTTTGACAGCTGACATCGTTGTTTTCAAGGTCCCACTTTGGTTATAATGCTGCAATCCCTTAGTAGTTCTGTTCTGCAAAACACTCTTGCTTCCTGCGAGTGTGTTTATACTCTGTCAAGAGTTGAAAGCAGTACTAGTCAATTTATTTTGCAATCTGAAATATATTGCCATAATAATTCATTAATGGAAACAATAAAATTTCCAAATTGACATACTTGGGGGAAAAAAGTGCCTTAGACAAAATCTTTCTATATTTCTAATCATACTGCTCAAAAAGAATGCAAAAACAATTACTAAATTTATAGAGAGAGAATTTGTGTGCATCTGTGAACCACAGAGAATCTATGAATATAGATATTCAGTTAGAGTTGATCACCTCACTACGCTTATGCATATGCAATAGAATTTTGGCCTGTAAGACTAAGATGGTCATTTATCAAACTTATTTGTACAGGACTATACTGATCTAATCAATAAATTTGTTCTGATTTTTTTTTCTAGAGGAAAAACTATTATCTGAGAAGTAATTGCTAGATCTTGGTCTCTACTCAGTGATGCAAAGATCTGACTCCAGTACCTCTTTATTTTGAAAAGGTAATACATAGCAGTGGTTTGGTATAGCCCTGGGAGAAACATTTACACAGTAATGGTTTACTGATTTTAGAAAAACACAGTAGGAGCAGATAAATCATTTAAGATGAAGAAACAACATATACCATTTTATATTTACGCTTACTTTTACACTTAACTAAATTTTACACTATGCAACGGCATGGTGTTTCACAGAATCACACAGACCCACAGAATGGCTGAGGTTGGAAGGGACCTCTAGAGATCATCTAGCCCAACCCCCCTGCTCCAGCAGGGACACCCAGAGCACATGGCACAGGGTGGCATCCAGGCGGGTTTGGAAGATCTGCAGGGAAGGAGACTCCACAACCTCTCCGGGCAGCCTGTGCCAGGGCTCTGTCACCTTCACAAGAAAGAAGTTCTTTTCTTCTTTTTCTTTTAAACACGTAGAGATGTAAACTTCACTTTCACCAGAATTTGGTTCATATTCATGAAAACAAAAGCTTAACCAGTAACTTTGGTTTCATGGTGGCTTTTGGACAGTTGGAACTGAAAACTTGCTAGAGATCCAGAAGTAGTAGTTTTGGTGTAATAATCACAGCTGAGTTTCCAGACCAAAACCAGCTACAGCTAATAGGACTGAACTTGTAAAATAGTCTTGTTCAGTGATGATGTAGGAGTATATTTAAAAAGCTAAATTTTCCCTTGATTATTCTTGATACAGGTTCTTGGTTCTCCTGCTCCACTACAAACTCCCTGCTCATGTAGACTCTAACCATCTCTGACTTGCATCAGAAAGACACCTGGTGCTATCGCATTTGAGAAAAGTGATTTTTACAGCCTTTTTGGAAAACAATTTACCTCCATTTTACTAAACCTAGTGTTGTCTCATTTTGTCCTCCAGAGCCTTGACTCAGTCTGCCTTTGTGAAACCTGTCCCCTGCTGCATTTTCCTGTTGCTACAGGGCTGCTATCACCTGCTATACATCCCTGGTAACCAGAATAAACATTCCTAACTGCCTAGGTCCTTCCTGCTTTCTTCTGTCCTCCACTATTAGCTCTACTAAAAATTCAGCTGCCTGTATTTTTATTCCCTGCATCTAGCTGTTACTTCTTCCATCCATTATGTAGCTTATAGGAGGCCTTTTATTCTGAATTTACAGGAATCACAGCTCAGCCCTTGTCATTTAGGACATACTTTTAATGCTAATGCACTTTCTTCCATGTTGAGTATACCCATGTTTCTCTTATCTGATGTTGCGGATCCAAAAATATGCAAAACTAGGTTACTCTCTGTATATTAATAATATTATCAGGTAATGATATGCATTGCTAATGCTAACATTTCCATGTGTAATATAATAAAAGTCACCAAAAGAAAATCACAGAGAGACGTGGTTTTAGAGAGTCTACGTGACTCTGACAGCTCTAATAATTGGACTTGGCTTTCCAATGTCTTAAGTGTTTCTGCAAGTGTAACCCCAAGAGTCAGGAAATACAGAAGGAAAAGTTCCAGGAGGTTTTACAGTGCCCGCGATATACT